TTCCGACCCATAGCGACCCTGTACAGGGTTTCCGAGGGTGTAAATCCTTACGGGAGTAGAAAGCCTCATCTTTCTCCCGCGGAGCGGCTGGCAGTTTCGAACCATTGACCTTAAGGTTCTCAGCCCGATTCGTAACCACTACGCTAATCTCCGATAAATTACTTCTGTCCTTTTGCTATTTGTTTTCTACCTTTTTTTGTTTTTAAATTTTTGCTTTTAATTTCTTCTAATACTGGCTTATTTTCTTTTAGTTGATTTTTTGTAGTGAATCATTTTGATTGCTTTCCATTTCTTTTTGTGTGTATAGTGTTCTTGTGTTGTGTTTTTGTTTTGTTTTGATTTTTTTTTTTTACAAAGAACATAATCTCTTTATTTCTGTTCGAGAAGCCAATGTTTGGTTTGTGTGATGAGAATGAGCTAAATCCTAGACAATGGCTAGCTCTTACGTGTTCCAATGAGCTCTAGTGGAGGAAGAGGCTAGATGAGATCTGTATTGCTTCTGCCTATTGATGATCAGCTTATCAGACTTACAGCTTGGTACTTCTTGATCAGAACTGTCCCAACAAAGAAAAATGTGAAGAAAGTCCAAGACGCAGATGGTGAATATGGATGTATGGTTTAGTCTGCTGTCCCCACCCATAGGGACTCTAAAATTCCATATTCAGTCATAACTGGGAGCTCTTGAGATCTGGGTACTGGCCTGTGTTTGTTGCACTGCTTCTCTGATTCTGCATTGCAAAACACGGGAAGGCATTTGGCTGCCTTGGAGGGAGGGTGGGTCAGAGTATTTGTGAGTGTTTGGAGGACATTTCCCTAGTAATCTACTGAGCTAACCAGTATGTATATCTTTTGGTCTTCAGTCTCTCAAAGTTCACCACAGTGTCAAGTCCATTTACTATCACCTCACACCAGTACTCACCCTACTGTGAGATGGATTCTTCTGGTAACTTTACTGCATGGGGATCTACCACAACACTAAGGTTCTTGAAGTGGCGGGCAGCTACTTCAGGAGTTAGCTCCCATTTGACGTTGTTCTTCATTCCCACTTTCATGTGACAGCTTCTCAGAAATTTCACTGTCACCTCCCCTGCCGGGGTGTGTATCTTCTCTAATTTTCCTTCTTGCCTTAGCAACTTCTCCTCTTCAAATAGCTTCTGGTCGTCAGGCGATGCTTTTACACAGCCAGTTCTTGAGGAAGGAGTTGATTCCAGCCCACAGATTGCTTTACGGAGACCAGGTCACCTCAGGCTCCAAGTGTGAGGATGAGTTCCAGGTTATCTTTGGACTGGTGTTTCACATCCTCCACCAGCTTGTAGACACAGTGTTGTTGGTACAGGTGTGGCTTCTTCCCCTCCGTGGCCAGTGGCATTTTCCAGCAGTGCTCCATGATGGCAGTGCTCCATTTGTGATAGAGGCTGAACTCCTGCTCCATGCCAGGGCTGCTGGCTTCAAGTCACTGCCTGAATAGCTCGCGGACTCCTCCTAGCAGAGGAAGCTCAGCACCTACCCGCAGTAGTGCTCTGCCAGGGGCTGTGATCCAGTCCTCTGCTTTGTTCCCAGGCATGGAGGGAAGGCTGAGAGCTTGTGTGTGGTTTTTAGATTTCTTTTTAGTTACCATGAGGATTATTTTAACATTCTAAATTCATAACACTCTAATTTGAATTGATACAAACTTAACTTCAATAACATACAAAGTATTACTGCACAGTTCTCTCTCCAGTCCTTTTATGTTGGTTATTATTGTTTCTTTATACATTGTGCACAAAATAGCATACATTTATAATTATTTTTTCATATGGTTTTGAGTTACTGTTTATAGTTCTTTTACTTCAACCCCAAGGAATCCCTTTAGCATTTATTTTAGATCAGGCCTACTGGTAATAAGCTCTCAGTTTTTATCAATTTGGGAATTTCTTAATTTTGTTTTCATTTTTGAGGGACGGTTTTTTTAAGATAGATAATTTTTTGTTGACATTTAAAAATTTTCAACACTTTAAATATGTCATCTCATTGCCTTTTGTTGTCTCTGGTGTAGTGTGTGACATGAGGTGTTCACTCTGTTTGAGGATGTCTTGATTTCTTTTTCTGTTTTCAAGTTTCTCTTTTTGTCTTTGATTTTCTACAGTCTGATTATAACATGTCTGAGTATGGAGTTCTTAGAATTTATCTCTTTTCAAGTTTTTTGTACTTTTTGAATGCATAGATTCTTGTCTTTTGGCAAATTTGGGAAGTTTTTTGCCATTACTTCCAATATTTTTTCTTTCCCTTTTCAATTTCAGTTTGAGATTCCTATATACATCTGTTGGTCAACTTGATTGTCATCATTGAGTGCCTTCGAGTTGGTTCCGACCCATAGCAAACCTGAACAGGGTTTCTGAGGGGGTAAATCTTTACGAGAGCAGAAAGCCTCATCTTTCTTCGGAAGAGTGGCTGGTAGTTTCATACAGCTGACCTTGCGGTTCACAGCCCGATTCATGACTACTACGCTACCAGAGCTCCTATCAACTTGATAAGTGTCCCCCAAATCTGGTTTTGTTCAGCTTTCTCCTTTTTTAACTTGTTCTTCCTCAGCCTTGATCATTTCAGTTGTTCTTTCTTCAAGATAATTTCAGATTGTCTTTTCTTTCTTGCACCTGCTCAGATCTGCTGTTGAGTCCCTCTAATGAATATTTCTTTTTTGTATTGTACTGTTTAGATCCATACTTCTGTTTTGTTCCATTTTATGCTCTTTGATGATATTCTCATTTTGTCCAATCATCTTATTCTTGATAAGAATTTCAAGAATTCTATTTCTTTTTTCTTTGGCCGTTATTACAATGCTTTAAAAATCTTTGTCTAGTAAGTCCATTGTCCTTCTTCATTGACACCTTTTGTAACTTTATTTTGTTCTTTTGAACTGACAATCTTTTTGGGGGGCGGGTATGTCTTGTGATTTTTGTTTCTTTGTTTTAATTACTGAAGGTTGTAGTAGCTCATTTGTTTAGTGACTTTCCCTAAGTATTTTACCCTGCCTGTTGGTCTTGTATGGTTATGGAAGTCTCTGTTCCTGGTGTGTGTATTTTGATAGAGATTTTCTTTTTAATACCAGAGGCAAAACAAATTCAAATACACACACACACACTCACACACACACCAACCAGAAAGATAAACAACAACAAACCAGATAAAACCAAAGAAAAAAATAAAACAACTACCTCTCAGTCTTTGCAGATTGGCTCTTGGTTGTGGTACTCCTCCCACATTTAGTCAGGCTTGCACTGAGCCTAGGCATCACCCCAAGGAGAAATCATAGGAACTTCTCAGTCATTTGCTGAGCATGCATCTTGGCCTGGGCATGAGTGTGGTTTTGTAAGTACTTCTGTAATTATGGGTGCTTTTGAATACTCTTAATTTTCCAAAGAGATGTTTAGTCTTCAGGCATCTATTTTATGTCTTAATTTGCATTCTTTAACCTAGGTGGCTACATGGGATTTCAGTGTTCAGGAAATGCCTGTTGCTTTTCTTTCCTGTGTGAGTTCTAAGATAGGAAAGAAAGAGCCCAGCAACTTATATCAGTCCTTCAGGTTGCTCCAGACAGATTAGAAAAGACATACACAGTCATTTGCAAATAAAGTCTACCCTTTTTCTTCTGGATGCAGGCACTAGAGACCCTCTCCAGAAATGTGAGCTGTCACCATTTAAGACTGCCACATACTTGGGGGAGATACTGGGGCATGATCAAGTAGACATGCTAAATGTCTATCAACATTTTTGTATTCATATTTTTCTTAATTCAGCCTTCACATGGTTGCTGTAATACGGTGTCTAGAATTTTAGTAAAATTGGTTCTCCCAGTTTCTGCTTGGTTTTCTTTATTTATATGACAGGATTGGATCATGGAACTGCTAATGATGCTACCTAGTTGATTACATTTACTTAAAGTTTTTTTTTTTTAAGGAGGAAGACATTTTGGATCTTCTGGAACAATGTGAGATTGATGATGAAAAGCTGATGGGAAAAACTGCCAAGCCTCGAGGACCAAAGGTGCAGTCCCATTACCTTCCTGGATATCAGAGTAAACTCACAAAACCAAATCACTGTCTTTGAGGTGATCTGACTCACTGTGATCCCATAGGACAGAATAGAACTGCTTTATAGGATTTCCAAGACTAAATCTTTATGCGATCAGACAGCCTCATCTTTCTCCTGCAGTGTGGCTGGTGGGTTTAAACTACTGACCTTGTGGTTAGTAGTCCAACATTTAACCCAGTATATCAGTATAAAGTAGATACTACAAACACAGTTATTTTTCCCTTGATACTTTTTATTATAGGAATGACTGGTGTCCTTCTAAGGAATCATACAGATATATTTGGGAAGATGATGTTATCTTGTATTTGGGTGAAGTTTTGTTTCACTTTGTTAATTTCCTTAATTGTTTGGTTCTTTCCCCAAAACTTGTTTTTGTTGTTAGGTGCCCTCGAGTTGGTACTGACTCATAGTAACCTGATGCATAATAGAATGAAACACTGCCAAGTTCTGTGCCAACCTCACAATTGTTGCTACACTTGAGCCCATTATTAATGCTGCCACTGTGCCAGTCCATCTCTTTGGGGATATTCCTCTGTTTGTTTAACCTCCACTATACCAAGCATGATGTCCTTCTCCAGGGACTGGTCCCTTCTGGTAATATGTGATAGACAAAGTCTGGCTATCCTGGATTCTAAGGAGCATTCTGGCTGGACTTGTGACACAGATTTGTTTGTTCTTTTGGCAGTCCATGGTACTTTTAATATTCTCCTCCAGCACCATAACTCAAATGCATCAATTCTTCTATGGTCTTCTTTATTCATTATCTAACTTTTATATGCATATGAGGTTATATAAAATGCTAGCATTCCGGAATGCTAGTGAAGGCCATGACAGTCAAGGCAAAAAGGGATCTACAATTAGCACTATTATTGTAAACTCAGTGTTAAATTTTCCTTATGTCACCAAGTAGATAATCATCATAGAAATGTATAGAATTATATGAGGGGACTTAAAAAAAATCATTAAAAAATTCCATTACCTTTTAATTCCATTTTTCCACAAACTGTTTGAAGCCCCTTTGTATATGAGACAAATCAGGATTGTAGAAATCGTTACCAGCAGACCCATAATCTGCCGACCCAGCAACTTGATCTTGTGTTAGTTAAAATATGTACCATTCTTAGGATTTCACAGGAAGCCTGTCTTGCAGGCAAAAATGGATAAGTGTTTGCTTCCCTGCATCTGCTCTGTGTGATGACATCCATATGTTCTTGTATTACATGTCAAATCTTTACTGACAGAGTAGGAAAGAGTTGACTTTGTAAATCCCTGGAAATTTTTTCCATTCTGCTCCTTTTACTTTACATTTTAGTAATGCTAATAAGCTGTCTCTGTGTCCTTAGATGCATCATGTTCTAGCATGCTTTTATGCCTTTCTAGGCTTCTTAAATGCCTGCCTAATAAAAATTATTTTATTGCTTAATTGATAGGAGCCCACTACTCATCCTGCATTCATGAAACCTTTCCTTACTCTCCCAGTTAGGGTTAGAGTGTCCTTTCCATCCTAATCCCATGGTGCCATAATAACACTTCTGTAGAATAGTCGTGATGAATAACTGTTTGCTTCAATGTGAAGTTGTAAGTTTCTTGAAATATGAGTATTTTAGTCTTTGTATCTCTTGTGCCTCTGGTAGTGTAGTGGTTACAAATCGTTCTGCGAACAACAAGGTCAGCAGTTCGAAACTACCAGCGGTTCCACAGGAGAAAGATGAGGTGTTCTGCTCCCATAAAGATTTACAGCCTCAGAAATCCTGTATAGGGTCGCTATGAGTCGGAACCGACTCCACGGCACACAGCCACCACCACCACCATCTTTTGCGCCTAGAACATAGCAACATCTCAAAAACTATTAGTTAAATTTCTTGGAGAGTTTTTGTTCTCAGTTACCTCACTGGCTAATAATGGAAATCTGATAAGTAGACTAAAATAGAGGGTAAGTATTGAGCTAAATGGAGTGTAAACTGCCAATTTGTCATACTCTTGTAGTTTACACATTGCCACTAGTATTTAAAATACTAGCAAAGTTACTCACGGGGTAAAGGTTTTAGTGGAGTTTTCAGACTAAGACAGACTAGAAGGAAGGTCTTGGTGATGTACTGTCAAACATTGGTGGTGGTGGTGGTCATGTGCCATGGAGTCGGTTCCAACTCATAGCAACCCTGTATAGGGTTTCCAAGGCTGTAAATCTTTATGGGAGCAGAAAGCTTCACCTTTCTCCTGAAGAATGGCTAGTACTTTTGAACTGCTGACCTTGAGGTCAGCAGCCTGACTCATAATCACTACGCTACCAAATGAAAACCTTGTGGGTAGAAACAGAACATTGCCTGATAGATGTTGGAAGATGAACCCATAAGGTCAGAAGGCATTCAAAATGTAACCTGGAAGAACTGCCTCTTTGCAGTAGGGTTGGCCTTAGTCCTATGGGTACAGTAATGCCTTAAGGACCTTCATTTGCTAATGTGGTATGACTAAAAGTCAGAACCAGTTGCTGTAAACATCGTTGGTAATTAGAACATAAAATGTGCCAAGTATAAATCAAAGGCAATTGGTGGTTATCAAACATACTGAATGCTTTAAGAATGATATCCTAAGTGTCAGTGAACTAAAATGGACAGTGAGTCAGAACCAACTTGACAGCAGACAGCATCAGTTACAACAAAGCATTGTTGTTGTTGTTAAGTGCTGTGGAGTTGTTTCCGACTCATAGCGACCCTGCACAGGGTTTCTGAGGCTGTAAATCTTTACGGGAGCAGAGCGCCTCATCTTTTTCCTGCGGAACCGCTGGTAGTTTCGAACTGCTGACCTTGCGGTTCACAGCCCGATTCGTAACCACTACATTACAAAGCATTAGCAATGATCATTTCTTAAGCTGTGTGAAGGGGCTTCAAAAAGTTTGTGGAAAATTCTATTATCTTTTCATTCCAGTTTTCCACAGACTTTTTGGAGTTTGCTAGTGGTAGCATAGTAGATTATGAGCTAAGCTGCTAACCACAAGTTCAGCAGTTTGACTCTACCAGCCACTCCATGGAAAAAAGATGAGGTTTTTGGCTCCTGTAAATATTGACAGCCTCAGAAACCCCATACAAGGTCAGTATGAGTTGGAACTAAACTCCATTGCACATAATCACCACCAGTATGGTAGGAGGAGCCCTGGTGTGGTGCTAAAGGATGAACACTGAACTGCTAACCACAAGGTCAGTGGGTCAAGCCCACCAGTCACTCCTTGAAAACACTATACAGGATCACTATAAGTAGAAACCAACTTGATGGCACTTAATAGCAACAACAATGTAATAGGTACATGTATGTTTGTTTTATTATTCTTTATTCCATTAATACACATTTAATTTATATGTTACATATTTCATTATAAAATAGGACATAAAATAACTAGTGCTCATTTATGAATCCCATCTTGTGGTTAAGGCACTGTTTAGAGTATATGCTGCTGTGATTTATTAATTTCTAGTTGAACAATGTCTTGGTCAAAAAGTCCCAAGATCCCATAGGTTTGGCTGTCTGTTTCCCCTTGTGATTCTGTATGGTCTGAATAACTCATTATGTAGTCAAGCTTCTTATTGTTGTTGCTAAGAGCCCCGTCGAATTGGTTCAGACTCATAGTTACCCTGTTTAGTGTTTCTGAGGAGTGACTGGTGGTTATGAACTGACCTTGTGGTTAGCAGTCCAGTGCTTATCCTACAGTGCCACACCAGGACTTCAGTAAAGTTCCTGAAGAAACCTTAAAGCTGTTTGCCTATATGAAGGAAGGT